GCCGCTGTCTTGTCACGGCCACCCTCCTCACACGTTCAGTTACCAATTTGTTCAACCAGGACACGCTTCGTGTAGTCGGAGAGTCAGGGTGGCCAACTGTACAGTGCGACCTGCTCTGTCCCCCAGCTGTCCCTCCCCGCATGACCAGGGCCACTGCTGCCTCGGGTGGTCCCGCGGGGACTCTTGGCTGACATGCGGGGTAGGTCACAGTGCCCCCATGTGTAAAGTGGGAACACGGCACCTCGTGCCCCAAACAGCGGCAAGGTCGCCTGAGACTACAGCAGCGGTGGAGTCACCATGGTGCCCTCCTCAGGAACGGGGTGGTGTAAGCTCGGGGCATGGGAGCACCTGCCTACTCCGTCCACACCCCGTCCACCTCCTTCCAGGGCCGGCTGGCGCAGACCAGGAAGCTGGGTTACTTCCCTAGTTCATCTGTGAAGCCCTGCCCTGTGGACGGAAGGGTGAGTCTTTCCCACAGAAGTTTCCAGAACACAGTGGCCAGGGCGCCGAGGGCTCGGGCTGTCTCCTCTCCTGGACGTCCTTGATCAGTGGCTGCTGGGAGCCGCCTCCCGGAGCGCAGAGCCCACAGCCTCCCTGCAGAGTTCAGGGACTCTGATTTCAAACCAGCTCGCAGCCTGGGGAGGGCACCCCGGACAGAAGGAGCCAAAGCCAGACGTCGTGACATGTCGAGAAAAAGGCTGAGTGGCGTTTGTCATCTGAGGCTGTGGAGGGACTTCCGGCCGTTACAAAAGGCCGCAGAAAGCCAGTGTGAATAAATCGACCCTCGCAGCCCCACAACAGCAGCCGGGGGTGGGGGTGGGGTGGAGCTTCCCCAGGACGCATAGGACGTGCGGGCAACCTGGGCTCTGGGCAGGCCGAGCGGCTGGACAGCTCAGGATGAGTGGCCGTTCCCTGGGCCGCCTGGGCAGATTCTGTCCCTGCTCAGTTTCTACTCTGCAAAGGGGGTGGGAGGACCCTAGACCAGTGAGGCCAGGATGGGAAGCCCCCACTGCCTGAGCGCCCTGCCCTGGGCCTGGGCCTGGTCCCTGGGGCCTTGTCTGCCTGCTGCTGCCCTCTTTCCCCTTCCAGAGGCAAAGGGCCTGGTGGCCACTCCATAGAGTCAGTCTGGTCTCTGAGCATCTGCTGGGAGGGACGGGTCCCAGCCTCTGGCCTGGGGACCCTGCAGACCAGGGGCTCTGGGGCCCAATCTATGTATCGGTGCTGAGCCTGGGGTCAGGACACCGTCCACAAGCCCCCTCTGGTCCCTGCTCTGTGGATGGCCCCTGGGAGGGGATTGACACACACCTGCTCTGCCTCCAGCCGCCCATCAGCCGGCCGCCTACCCGGGAGATCGACTACACGGCATACCCCTGGTGAGTGGACCGTGGCCGGCGGGCATGGGTGTCAGTGGCCCGTTTGTGGTGGGCTGTGCTCACCAGCCCGTGGGCAGGCCCTGGGTGGGGTGGAGGCCCCCGGTTGCCTCCAGCCCGGCTCCAGGGCAGCCAAGCCCGAACAGCCTGCAGCTTGGGGCATCAGCTCTGCTGCAGCTGCCCCTGGGAGGCTGGCACTGGGGGCAGAGGCCTGCTTTCGGCAATTTCAAGTGAGCTTTGTTCCATCAAGCACACGAAGGTGGCGTGTGTGGGCCAGCCCTGTAGCCTCATGGTTAAGGGAGCCAGATCCCACATGGCTGACCCCGTGGTTCCAATCCTGGCCCCGGGGCTTGAAAGGTGCCCCACACCCCGACAGGATGGAGGAACAGAGCAGCAGGGATTGCAGTGGCCACACCTCCTTGGGGTGCTTCCTCCCTCCCCTCTGGAGAGCGCATATGCCTTAGGGCAGTTAGAGACAAACCTGCTTAAGGCGGAACTTGGGATCCCGCGGGCACGCACTCAGTCGCTCCATGGAGTGGATGAGCAGCATGGCCGATCAGCCTCGCCGATCAGCCTCGCCAGTTCTCGTTTCCCTCTGGCCCTGCCAAGCTCTGACCCCAAGGGCCCTGCGGGCTCCTGCTCTTGCGGCTCTCCCTGCAGCGGCCGCCCGGTGATGGCTGCCGGCTGTGTGGGCAGCCCAAGCCCAGGTGTCTGCCCTTGTGACTTCCGTCTGCGTTCACCCCTGCTCCCAGCAGTGCTGTCTATGTGGTCCTCGGTGTCCCTGGCCTCTCCCGGCATCTCGGTCTCGGCCGCCCAGACCCTCTGCTTTGTCCACACTGCTCAGGGCTACGGCTGGTGCGTGAGCAGCCTGGGCTTTCGCTGGCTCGGCCGGGTGACAAGCAGAAACACGATCTTTAATGCCGTCCTGCCGTGGGCACGGGGTTCTGGAAGCCTTCACTCCTCCACAGTCAGAGCCCACTGTCCTGGGGCCTGCCTGGCTGTCTTAGGAGTGGCTCCATTTCTTTCTTTCTTTTTTTTTTTTTTTTGGAGAGGTTTTTGCTATAGGGTGCATGCACTTGCCAGAAAGACCGAGAAAGACAGACAGAAAGAGAGAAATCACCCCCTGGGGGGATGGTCACGCTGCAATCCCTTCTCCTTTCTCTTCTTGGGGTCTTGGGCACACATGCACATGCTCCCAGCATGAGTTTAAGCCACTGGGTCCGGGACTAGAACCGTAGTCTACTACATGGGAGTCCAGTGACATAGCCATAACGCTAACTGCTGGTCCCAAGAGCAGCTCCATTTCAACAGCGAAGCAGGGAAGACTTTATCTCAAATCTGAAATTCAGTTAGTGTGGACGGCGGCCCCGTGTGTCAGGGAAACAGCCTGTGTGGCCTTTAGCCCTTGCTGCTTGTTGGATGATGAAGGGGACGAGGGGGCCGGACAGGAGCGCCATGTCCACAGCCCCTCTCTCCAGCCTCGGGGCTGAGCAGAAACCGTGGGCTGGGACGAGGCCGCTGCAGGCCTCCCCT